TTTTTTCTTCTTTCTTCCTGTCTTTCTTCCTGTCTCTGTCTTTCTTGTCTTTCTTTTTTCTTTTCTTTTCTTTTCTGTCTCTCCTCTCTCTTTCTTTCTTTTTTCGAGATTTTATTTTTGGGGCTCATGGTTGGTTCAGTAGGTTGTGATTCTGACTCTTGATCTTGGCACAGGTCATGACCTCACGGTTTGTGGGATTGACCCTGAGTTGGGCTCTGAGCTGAGAGTGTGGAGCGTGCTTCAAATTCTCTCTTTCCCTCTCTCTCTGCCCCTCCCCTGCTCACTCTCTCCCTCTCTCAAAATAAATAAATAAACTTAAAAATATTTCGTGTTTAAGTAACTTCTACACCTAAGGTGGGGCTTGAACTCACAACCCCTAGATCAAGAGTTGCATGCTCTACTGACTGAGCCAGCCAGGCACCCCCCAAGCAGGCTAGTACTGCTTAATTAGTGCATCTGTTTTTCTTCCGTGCATTTCTTCAAACTAGCCTCACTAAACCTGCAAGAGGAGGAGCTGAGACCATGGAGAGGAGTCAAATTCAGATCCTTGAGGGACTCCTAGGCTGATGGGAAAGACTGGCCAGGCAAAGAGAGGTCATTAGATCAGAGCCTGGAAGGATAGAAGCATAGTGACTTGGGCCTGAGGCAGCCTAGCCCAGCTGGGTAAGCAAGGCTTCCTGATGTCATGAACCCAGGTTAGAAGGACGAGGAGCTGTTATCCAGGTGAAGAAGGGGGTCAACAGTTCTACACAGGGGGACAACCCAGAGGCATGGGAGCAGGTCAGACTGGCTGAATGCTGACAGAGTGGAGAGCATGATGGGTGGCTGGGGCTTCTCTGCATTTTATAAGCTAAAAATCTCTCGGGGTTTCTTACCCTGCACTGCACCCTCTTTCCTTTCTCCACCACAAGTGTCTCCTTTGCACACAGCTGCACCAGCCTCATCACCTTTTGCCTGTAGACTATGGCACAAGCCTTCCAACTGGTGTCCTGGGTTCTAACCCTGCCCCTGCCTACCCCAGTCCATACCCTACACCTGCCACTAAGGAGCCCGGCCTTGTCATTTCTTAAAGCCCTCCCTGCCTACTAATCGGTTTGTGCCCAAAAGTCTTGGTCCAGCATTGATGGCCTCTCAGTATCTTTCCAGTGTCCATCATTGCTACCTCATTTCACTGGCTTCCCCCCACCCACCAGGCCTGTGGGAATTTCCTCAGGTGCTCTATGCTCCCACATGCCTCTACACATTTGCTCTTTCCCATGTCTGTTCTCCACTGTGCATGCACACACACCTGGTGAGTCCCTCAGTCTTCAAGATTATCTCCTTTTTCCTCACTTTCCTGACCCTCCTCAAAAGGGAGTAAGTCCCCACGCTGTTCCCACACATCCCCATTTGTAGTTGTATTTGTAGTTGTACTACTATTTGTAGTAGTCCCACACATCCCATTAAGTTGTATTTACATTTGAACAATGTGGGTTTGACTGCGTGGGTCCACTTATACACAATTTTTTTTTTTTATAAATACAGTCTAGTATTATAAGTGTATTTCCTCTTATGATTTTCCTTCTTTTTTTAAGTTTTATTTATTTATTTTGAGAGAGAGAGAGAGCAAGCACGTGCATAAGCGGGGGAGGGGCAGAGAGTGGGGAGAGAGAGAATCCCAAGCAGGCTCCATACTGTCAGCACAGAGCCTGACACTGGGCTTGATCTCACAAACCATGAGATCATGACCTGAGCCAAAAGCAAGAGTTGGATGTTCGACCTACTGAGCCACCCAGGTGCCCCACATAATTTTCTTAATATTTTCTTCAGGTGGGGCACCTGGGTGGCTCAGTCGGTTGAGCATCTGACTTTGGCACATGATCTCACCGTTTGTGACTTCAAGCCCCATGTGGGGCTCGGTGCTGACCATTCAGAGCCTGGAGCCTGCTTCCGATTCTGTGTCCCCCTCTCTTTCTGCCCCTCCCCCGATCTCTCTCTGTGTCTCTCAAAAATAAATAAACGTTTAAAAATAATAATAATATTGGGGTGCCTGGGTGGGCATGATGGCGACAAAACTTCAGCCAGATCCCGCGATCTCGCGGTCCGTGAGTTTCGAGAGCCCCGCGTCAGAGCTCTCTTCCAGGCTGATGGCTGGGAGCCTGGGTACATTTCACCGATTCTGTGTCTCCCTCTCTCTCTGCCCCTCCCCAGTTGTGCTCTGTAATATGTCTCTGTCCCAAAAATAAATAAACATTGAAAAAAAATTTTTTTAATAAATAAATAAATAAATAAACAAACATTAAACAAATTTTTAAAAATAATAATAATATTTTCCTCAGGTTACTTTATTGTAAGAATACGGCATATAATATGTATAACATACAAAATATGTGTTAATCAACACTTTACATTCTCGATACAGTCTTCTTTCTAAAATCCAATAGCAGTAGGCTGTTAGTAGTTGAGGTTTGGGGGGGCGGGCGGTCAAAGTTATAGGCAGATTTTTGGCTGCACAGGGGCTGGCACCCCTAACCCCTGTGCTATTCAAGGGTCAACTGCTTCTCCCCCATTAAATGTGAATTCTTTTAGGACAGAGCAGGCCCATATAGGGTTCAACTTGGTGACTGTTGTGCCAAGCAGAGACCCTGGCACACAGCGGTCACTGGTATTATTTTTTGAGGGAAAGAACAGAGTGAATAAGGCCTGTCTTGGTGTTTCTGAAGGGGAGATGCTTGGACCAGCCCTGGCAGAAAATACTGGACTCACCGAGCTTAATATAAACTGGAATCACCTTCGAGGACCAGGAGCTGTAGCCTTTGCCAGGGCACTGGAGGTATGAACACCTCTGTCACCCATCTGCCCTCTGGCCTGTCCTGTGGGGACAGTCTCCCAGGTGCCATCTTCCTATCTTTGCAGCTCTTCAGAAATGACCCTTGGATCCTTCAAGCAGAGCTTAAAGAATATTTTGTTTGGTGATTTTAATTGTCCCAGCCCCATTTCGTGACTCCAAAATACCGTGCTCACTCTCATGTCACTTACTCAAGGGTCTGCAGTTCAATGTTGTACACCTTCTCCATTTATTACAGACATATGGCTGGTGGGGGACATCGTGCAGTCTGGTGACACATGCCTGCTATGGGCACATGCAGATGCTTCCCTGAGATGACAGCCCTGCACCCTGCGTCCCAGCACATAGTCTTAAACATCCCACCTGCTTCCTTCGATGTTGTGGTTCATAAGCCTCAGGAATGTGTGGCTCCTAGCCCCTGCCAGGATGCGCCTGGTGCTGGCTAGCTTTGTGGGGCCCTCCTCAGGGAACAGCAGCAGCTGCCTTGCCCCCCTCCTCAGGGGCTGACCTGGGGATCCTGCCCCACAGGGTGGTGGGTCAGGCTCTGTCCTCCCAGTGCACCCACAAGCTCCTGCCCTTCTCCCCATCACAGCCCCCCCAAAGCCCTTCACCGGAGTCCCTCTGTCATTCTGCTCTGTGCCTCAGAGGACCTGCCCTTGAGCCTAGCCACCCCCCCCCCGCCCCCAGCAGCCATGGAACCAGACCACTGTGTCCCTGGGGTCTGCTGCTGAGCAGTGGGCCTCTCAGTCTCTGAGGATCATCCACACCCACAACCACCCTTGGTGCCGTGCTTCCAGTCATTTGGTTCTCCCGGTCACCGTCATCCAAGCCACAAGACTCTTACCAGGAACCTCTGACCTTCTGCTCTCAGCCCGTGCTTTTTTGCACCCTGGGCCTCCCGGGCTCTGAGGCGGTGACCCCTGGCTTTCCCCACTTCACAGGTGGTCTCCTGGCTTCACTCTTTTGCATTCTAGGCAAACATCTTCCTGAGAGTCCTGGACATCTCATACAATGGCTTTGGAGATCCTGGAGCATCTGCAGTGGGTGAGGCACTTAAGACCAACAATGTGTTGGAAGAGCTCAACATGAGGTGAGGCACACGGGGTGGCCCTGTGTCACAGTCTCCAGATCCATAGCCACCTGAGGGACCAGGGACTCCATGATCCTGCTACTGTTTACCACCTTAGCAACTCCCAAGCCTACCACAGTTTACCCACGATGGGGCTTGAGACACAATCCAAGAGCACCCAGCTCCCTCCTTCTCACTCAAGTTTAGCACTGGGTTGTTGTTTTTTTTTTAAGTTTGAAAAAAAATTTATTTAAGTAATCTCTACACCCTACAAGAGTTCAAACTCATGACCCCAAGATCAAGAGTCACGGGCTCTATCGACTGAGCCAGCCGGGTGCCCCTCAAGTTCAGCACTTGTACCTTGGAGCTCATAATTCCTGACGGATAGGTGGGGGCTGCTAGTGAAAACAGATATGTAAAACATCTTCACTTAAAAAGGGGAGGAGGGGTGCCTGGGTGGCTCAGTTGTTTGAGTGTCCAACTCAATTTTGGCTCAGGTCATGATCCCAGGGTCGTGGGGGGCGGGGGTAAGGGAGGGGAAAGTAGGGGAGGGATGCTCCAGGTGTGCTTGCTGAGTGATCTCCCTCAACACTGGGAACCAGGGTTGTTATCCAGCTTTTACATACTGACCTGCCCAGGGTCCCTGGGGCATCAGTGGAGGCTGGAACATGAAGCCCAAGCAGGTGGATGCACCAGCAACACCAGGTTGGACCCTGGGACCGTCTGGCTCTACACAGCTGCTCGGAAGGTAGCAAAATGCATATGTCTTTCTGTTGCAGCAACAACCGCATCTCTGCAGTGGGAGCCCTGAGCCTGGGCCTGGGCCTCCGGGTCAACCAGACACTGAGGATTCTTGTTGTGAGTGCTAGCCTGATGGGGCAGGCCCCAGCATAGACCTGCCTGTATGTGTCCACACAGATCCCTCCCCTGCCTCATCTCCCCACTCCAGTGGCAGCAGGGTACGGAATTTCTAGAGCCCAGATGAGGGAGGGGACCTCCTGGTTTCCTCCTATGACCACTTCTTTCCCTTGCCATTCCCTCACCCACCTCTGACCTGACCCCGGCACTTCTTCCGACTCCTCCCTCGTCCATCCTTCTCCCCCCAACCCCCAGCAGTGTCACCTCCACCTCCCGACTGTCCTTGCTCCTTCTCAGCTCACTGGGTCAGCCCAGGTGTACCGTTGGCTATGCTCAGACCTACTTGAGGCCTTGTGTGACAGATGGGGTTTCCCTTTCTTCAGCATTGCCAGTCGGGTAGGAAAAGGGAGGGTGCAATGGAAGGTGAAGCCCAAGTGGGCCACTGTGCTCAGAGGACAGGTCCTGGGGGGCATCCAGCCCTGCCTGGCTCTCAGCTCCATCAACTGGCAGAAGAGCACCGTGTGGGCGTCTGGGTGGCTCAGTCAGTTACGCATCAGACTTCGGCTCAGGTCATGATCTCATGGTTCATGAGTTCAAGCCCCGCATCAGTCTCTACTGTCAGTGCAGAGCCCACTTTAGATCTTCTGTCTCCTCTCTCTGTGGCTCCCCTGCTCATGCGCGCGCTCTCTCTCTCTCTCTCTAATAAACATTAAAAAGAAGAAGAAGAAGAAGAAGAAGAAGAAGAGCCCCCTGAAGCACTCCCATCCACGCTCCCCCCTGCAGCCCAGACCTCTCTTAAGCTCTGGATCCCCATTTACAGCCACCTGCTGGACCATCCCCTAGATGTCCCATGGGCATAAAGCACAACCCGAAGGCATCCTCTCTCTCTAAGGGCTGCCTCTTGGTGGTGGGGGAGGGGGGGCTCCTCACTGAGTCAGAAGTAGGCGCCCAGTGCTCACTCCTCCCTCTCTTTTCCTTGCCTTCCAACCTTCATCTTACTTCCTGCAGGGTGCTGGGGCTGCCTGCTCTTCCTTCTCACTTCCCCTCAAGTTCCATTGACCTGTGCATTTCCCATCTCTCGTCCTTCCTTCTCACCTGCCAGTTGATCTTTCTAAAGCAGAAACATGCTCCCGTCCCCTCCTTGCTTTAAACCTGTCAACGGCTCCCCTCTGGATAAATCCAAGGTTAGTAGTATGGCATTCACCGCACATTGGGCTCTGGGCTCTGCCACAGCCCCTCTGCCTTCCACCGCTGAAGCTCATTCGCTCACCCCAAGCTGCTCTGAATTTTCTGCACATGATGCAATTTCTCCCCTTTGTTTTGCTCCTCCTGCTCTTGCTGAAATACCCAGCTCTGCCCGCCTCACCCGTAAAGCTCAGTGCGGGTGCGTAAACTTCACCTCCCCAGAAGAGTTGATGTACACTCTCATTGCACTTATCACACTGCATTTTCATGATGTTTCCTTTTCCTCTCCTCCCCGTGATGGGTGAATTCCTTAAAGGCAGAGCTGTGCCTTGTGTGTCCGTATCTTTGGCACCTGGCACAGATTTGGGCATATGGTGGGCACTCAGCCAGTGCATACTCCCTTCCCCTCTTCCCCAGCCTCACCGCCTCACCCAGGGTGTTTTGTCAGTGGAGACAAATTCTGAGCTGAGACAGTGGGGCTGTCCTGAGGCACTTGTCATCAGAGATGAAGAATCCTTCCCTCCCTTTTGACTTGCTCCACCTCCAGCTTCCCTGGGCTCAGTTTTTCTCAATTGTGTGTGTGTTTCTCAGATGTCCAGGAATCCCATGCGAGGCGAAGGCTGCTTTGGAGTTCTAAAGTCTGTCCGGGATAATCCAGGGTCTGCCCTAGAACTGCTGGATTTCTCTGTAAGAGCTTTTCATAAATCTCATCTGTGATCCTTCCAACAGCCCCACGAGTTCTCATTTAGAGGAAGAAAGTAGGGATTAGAGAAACAGCATGTCCTGCTCAGATACTCAGTGTGGCTAAGTCTGAGTGCCACCCCAGGCCTGAATGGAGGGTCACAATGCCACTGTGGCTTTATTTCCACTCCTGACTGGGGGATACCGTTGCGGTCTCATCTCTGACTCATGCCTGGGTTCTTCATTGGCTGAGAGAGAATTGCCTCAGAGGACACTTAGCTCACTGTTCACTGACGTTTGGATTTGAAGGTTCAGTACTTACCCACCTCACCCCCTGGACTGTTCTGCCTGCAGGTGGATATTGGTGTTGGAAGATTCACTCGTGTGGCTTTGAGGGAGATTAAGACTCCTTTTCATTCAGTTGTGGGTTTGTTTTTTTTTTTTATTTTTAGGGGAGAGGGGCAAAGGGAGAGAGAGAGAATGAGAGAGAGAGAGAGAGAGAGAGAGAGAGAGAGAGAGAGAGAGAGAGAGAGAGAATCTTAGGCAGGCTCCATGCTAAGCATGGAGCCTGATGCAGGGCTCAATCCCATGACCCTGAGATCATGACCTGAGCTGAAATCAAGAGTCAAATGCTCAACCATCTGAGCCACCGAGGCATCTCAATTGTGCCTTTTTAATATAGAAAATTCAGGGCACCTGGGCAGCTCAGTTGGTTAAGTGTCTGACTCTTGCTTTTGACTCAGGTCATGATCTCATGGTTCATGAGATCAAGCCCCATGTTGGTCTCTGCATTGAAAGGAGGGAGCTTGCTTAGGATTCTCTCTCTGTCCCTCTGTGTCCCCCTCCCCTGCTTGCTCGCTCTCTCTCTCTCTCTCAAAATAAATAAACTTAAAAATATATAGAGAAAATTATATAAGCAGTAAAACATTAAGGAGAGAATCCCCAAAAATAAGTTATTAAACTGAAATCTAGTCACAAATCACTGCTTATTCTAACCCTCATTTATTTAAAACCAGTTTTGTGGCAAAGTCTTTCCAGAGACGTTTTTACAGTTCCAATCCTTCAGGC